CTGGAAACAGACCCTGTCCCCCATCACGTTCACACATTCTGACTCCTAATCCTACCATAGGGGCATCAGTACGGCACAGACACACTCACAACAACAGGCCTCCACCTTTTCTTCCCCATAAACACAATTTACGGAAGTGATACTCTGTAACCTAGGAGCCAGTCAGCAAGACCTTTTCAATACAACCTGTTGTTCCCTTGCAACCATTAATCTAATATGTTTCTACCCAGTCTATATGCAAATGGGGGAGGTTCTTTCTGCTTCCCTAAGCAGCAAGTATTGGTGGTATTTTTCAGATACACTTCTTGGGCTTTTCTAGAAGGTAAAGGTGAGATGGACAATGTTGATAACAACGGTATACTGAATAATGATGTTAAGCAAAGGCTAGTCTTCTTACTAAATTCTTCACTTAAAGCCAGCCAAAAAGGCCAAATCCTGTCTTCATACCTCTTCCAAAAATGTTAAACGGCTTTAATTTATTTTCTTGGTTCTCAGATATTCCTAAATGCACAACTTCAACAAGCAGTCAATATGTAAACAGGGGGGCTGGAGTAAAGCTTGTTCCCCTGTAAGGTAGGTTTAAGTTACACACAATTCAACCATTTATTTCTGGGACATACAGACAAAGGCAGAGGAAATGTCAGGTGCATATATTACATAAGCCTTTGTCCCACTTGATAACTGTCGTGGAGACAATGGCATGTTTTGTAATGTGTAATAACAACACAACCAAGGACATTATATACAGAATGTATACTGTCCTTGACACAACCAATGACCAATGTCATTCAATCTATGTCACATAGACTTCAATAGCAACTAGAAAGGCCAATATTTGCTTTGGAGCAAATACAGCGATGGGTTCACCACATTTTACCACATGGCAGGGAAAGAATGAGAAACACAAGGGAAACAATGATTTACATTGATATAACTATAATATGAAGTAACAACTAAAACAACAGTTGGATAGCTATTCCCTACTTTATTGGTTAGGATTTTTAATTGCATAATGCAAACTGTTGATTTTCAAAATAAAATAAAAAACGTTCATGCCCCGCATTCCAATGCTGAGCAGAAAAGCTTGAAATACCTACCAAAACACTTGAATAAAGACATACTGTCAGTATGGAAATGCTCTGTGCAGGTGTTAATCAAGTTAAATCCCAACAGCCAATCAGCAAGAAATGCTCTGTGCAGGTGGAAATGCTCTGTGCGGGTGTTAATCAAGTTAAATCCCAACAGCCAATCAGCAAGAAGTATAGAGGAAAGCTGCATGCCTATTGGTTGATGCCCTGCATTCCATTGTGATGACTCATGCCCAGACGTGGTAAACACGCACACTAACACAGTAATACATTTGCTATAACACAGCCAAAAAACTCAAATAAAACCATTCTAAAAGCCTGTATCACAAAAATTTAAAAAACGCCTAGGGGTATTTGCCCACTGTACCTCCATACCAAATTTCAGGACCTTAGGCCCTAAAATGAAGAAGCTGAATCCATTTAAAGATATGGCAGGAGGAGAAGGAGGAGAAGGAGAAGGAGGAGGAGAAGAAACATCAGAAAAAGCAATATGGGTTCACCACCACTTCGTGGTGTGGTGAACCCATAATGAAATGTCAGTACAAGTCATGGGACAGCTAACCTTGATGTTAGATAAATCTCAGGCATAAATTATGAGTGGTGACACTGGGCTTGGAATGTATTTTTGAGAACTCTGGTGCATATAGATTTAGGTACATGTAACTACTGATTACACTATACTCTAGGTGATAACAACATAGCCCAAAGCATGTAACCTTTTCATGCATGCTTGTCTGTCGTTTATTCATTCACTGACACATTTCACACCCTGACCTGGGAAGTACTGGAAATCTTGCTCGCGGTGGTTTTATTTTCATGTTACTTGAGATCCACATAAAATCCTAAAATGTATTCCCATTGTATTTCACCAGTACTACATTTAATTTATTGTTTCAAAAACCTCCTTTCCTTCCTACCATAAGTCCATGTGAACATGGATGAAATTACAGTACGTGCTGGACATGCCCACTTGGCATGACTGTAACTGGAAAAAGCAGCCCCTTAAGTCCCTCTTAAGGGTGTTGAAAGTCAGATGTCGGTACTTTATAGTACTTTGTAAAACAAAATGAGGGCAATGCATTCTTTCTCTAGCCTCTGTATTTGGCAAATGAGCATTGAGTCATTGACCAGTCTTACAACTTGACCTGAAAAGAACATGCTTGAAGTTGAATGTGCCAACTTCCAGTAACACATTCACATGTCAAAAATAAATTCATATAGCACACATGCACTTGGATAAGTCCAACTGGCTAGAGTCAAATATGTAGTATACATATTAATCATTCAAATAGTATACATATTGACAACATGACGTTGAAGCTGTTTCAAGAAGTGACTTCATCCTTTCAGGTCAAAATATCTATTTTTGGCAGTCCAAAAATGTTATGTATTAAATGTACATGTATTAGCGAGAGCTGTATACAACATTTGTGCGAGCTAGCATCATACAGCTTTCACTGTCCACAATGTTTACTAAAAAAGTGAGAAGGCTGAATATTGGATATCAAAGGACCGGATCCTGTCCACTCTAGCATAATCCTTCCATTGTAGCTTAGGTTTCACAGAGCAGGAAATAGCAAATGGATAGCACTATACATTTAGATCCAGTTGAACTAATTCAAAAGGTTGATTTTGGTATTGACAAGAACAACAGGTTCTGTACTCAGTTATATTCATAATGTACAAAAGAGATACCCATTCCATCCAAGAAGCACAAAAAGAACAAGTTCCACTCAAGAATCCCAAGGAACATGCTAAACATCCCATCGTCTGCAACCCTTCCTTGTAGCATTCAAGGCAAGAGAGTGACAACAGTCTGGACTCCAACGCTCAACCCTCTGGTCCAGAAGCAGGGCTGCTTGCTATTGAGCCAAGGATCTGCAGCTATTCTAGTAGTAGTAGCCAAATCCCTGTAACGTTAACCAGCTTGATTTTTTTCGGAATGACACAGTCTCTTTATTTTTTGTGTTCCACTTACTACATTACTGTCTATTGCAACTTATACAACAGCACAGAGGCCCAACTTTGCTTCCCCCTCCTAGGCAATTAGGCCAGGTGCTTATCACAATTTACCTGGTTGCCATGGCAGCTTCCTTCACCTTTATCTGGGTGCATTTGTCCCACAAACCTTCTCCCCTCTGGCTATACAAACACACCCTGGTTACTGTCCATGCACCGCTTCTCACTACAAACATGCAGACTTACACACACTCTTAAACGCAGAAACACTACCAGCCTGGGGTGCGTGTTTAACAAATCCACCCTGCCTTTTGTGCAAAAAGAAGGGATTTCTATCCTTTGATGTTGAAATAACATGACGATCTTTGAGGAAAGTTCACCTGTTGAAAGTATGACAGCATGAATATATTACCATTTATTAGTTCACAGCTAGAAGAAGTCACATGATGGTGAAACTGGCCCACAAAAAACTCTTTTCTGTTATCTAAACTCTAATGTCACTTTTGGGTTTTGATTAACAAATACTGAATGTGACACCTCTCCAAAGAAAATTTTGTATTTTTTCTTTTAAGTTTTCATCAGACTAGACTGTTTCTGTTACAAAAGGTTCAAAGATTGTACAAAAGCAAAGGTTTCAGTGTTACAAAAGCAAAGGTCATTATTTATAGCTATCAGTTCATGTTGCTTGGATACAATCGTTGGAGGACATAATGACCAAAGTGTATATATACAGTACATGTGAGCCCAAACAATATCTGACCTACACAATGCGGGTTCAATAAAGGGCAGGTATAAAGAGGTCAGCTGACCGACAAAAGTACAAAAGAAGGGTTGAAGGTTGAGGGTACAAGATGGAAAGGAAGTACAGCAAAAGTCATTTAGTCACAACATTTTGAACAACATATATAGCTATCTAGCTATCTATAAAGTACAATTATAGTGGGATATGTGTCAGACAAACTTGTAAATTAAGAATATAAAACAAAAACTTAACTTAAGCGTGCTGATATATATTATAATGCTTATTTTCCAAAGTTCAAATTCTGTAGTTATGTCATTATGTCAATCATTAGCAGCTGGATAAATTCTCTGAAGAGTCAGATAGATATTTCATTCTTAACTAAAGTCTTTGTCGAAAGACAGTTTTTGGCTAAAGGGTATCGTAATAAAGGAGGAATAAAGGAATAAAGGAGATAGAGAATGCTATATACATGTATATATATGAAATGTCTTGAGAGAATCTATCCATTTGGTGACTTACTTTGATGACATATAGAGTTACATATACTCAGTTGCATGTTTTGCTGGAAAGGACCAAACTTTGTTTTCTGTTGTCAGAAAACATACTAAACCACATGTCATTCAAAAGTCCCAAAACACTGCGGCCTCATGACAACAATAGTGCCAACCTGCATGTGGATAAGCAGGGATTTCCAACACAGGACATTTGCAAAGCCTCAGCTCTTTACTTGTAGTAAATTGAGGGACAGAAGCAGACATTATGTCCATACACAAACACTTCTGCACCCTTTCATCAACATTAAGTCCTCTCTGACCTGGATTTCTCTAAGTCTGAGATCAGGGAGTGACTATTACCCTGGGCTTTGTTAAATTGGCTTTTGTTGGCAATTTTGAAATTAGCTTTTAGATGGAATCTGAACAATTTTCTTTGTTATCTATCTAATCATGTAGTTGGTATACATGCAGCCAATCAGTTTTGCTGAAAAAAGTACAAATGTAACAATAAAGTTTGGATGTTTAGTTCTTTTGTGTCATTTCTTGGCTTTTAATGATAACCACCAAATTTACCTCTCTTTTTCTCTACAAACCTACAGACATGTGCTGTTGGACAGTATAGTTTGCCAAGTTAGAGTGTTTGTACAGCAATAAGAGAATGCAGCTATGTTCAAAGGTACGTATCTGCTGTACTTTGCTCATTATGCAGAGTCACGACTCTTCTACTAAAGTTTCCATCATGCATTTAAGAGACTTTTGTCTATCTGTCACACCTGCAGGCGAAAGCAAAACAAACTTAAAGGCGAACTGTAGCACAATGGCAGGAATGTACTCTACCCTGTCACTTTGGAAGGGCCACCAGGAAGGAATACTGGGTAAATTTTTATTGAAAAGTACCTGCAATGACAGGTTACAAATAGATTGTAGGTGGTCACCATTAGTCCAACACATTTGAACAGCAGTCATCCTTCAATTCTTTTTTCAAAATACCACCACATTGTCTGGATATTTCATCTGCCAGATGGTTGGCGAATAATATCTTCTTGCTCCTACTTTTGAACTTAGCAAAGTAACATATTTATTTCTCTGTCAAATAATGTCTGTTTTCTTGTGAGTTGTGACTATATAGCTGTAAATGTAGCATGTTCGGTTTCACTTACCCCATGTATAGCTGGAGCCAGAGCCACAGCAGGAGCAAGCAGTCCAAACCGACCAAAGTTCTCTAGAGATGATCGTCTGTTCAGAGGTCTCAACGTTTCTTTCTTTGTCTCTTTACTTTCTGTCTTTTTATCCGACCTTGGTTTGGCCCACGTCTTAACATCCTCCTTTATACTACTCGACGACCTCGAGACCGTTCTGTCGTGCATCGGAATCCTATCCGAAGATTCTCTGACCGCATTTCCGTTCCGGCCCCCTCCATTTTTGTTCACATCACCTGCATTTTCGAGAAGTTTGGCTTTTGGGCTTGTATCATACACAGGGCTGTCCGGAGAACGTCTGCCGGCAGGTAACTGCCCTCCTGTCCCCTCCTCGTTTTCCACAGAAAATTTACTGCTGACAAAGCCATTGTTTGTGGCTGTCCTGTCTTCAACATCCACCTCCATCTTAGCAGACACTCAGTGACACACAGTAACAATGTGTGCTTCAGATAGGTCAGGGGTCATCTCCATGGTGATATTGCCAACCTTTGTGCCATAAACTTAGCAGACTGGAAAGCAAACAGAGGAAAACACAAGTAAGGTAAAAGGCCTACAAATACATGTAAGTAAAATGCAGACTGACTTCCTAAACTGAACACATAAAAAGTTACTAGTATGTTGTGGATTGATTGGTATAGTTTGAAAGCTCTTTTCCTAAGATCAGCCCAAATTTAAAAGTACATGTAACTAACATGCCATGACATTGTCTATTTCTCATAAAAGGAATATCATACCATAAACAGCTGTGAAAAGACCATGCAAGACCAAGGTATCTTCTTAAACAGAACTGCCTTAGGATTATATGTTATTTTCATTTTTTAGATTGCCTCTGACCCCAACAAGTTCAACAAGTACTTTCCTGTACTCAACAAGTATACATAGAAAAGGGTTTTGACATAAACAGCTGGCAGTTGATATACGAATGTGCTTGGCAAGGATGTCTGACCACTTAACCATCGTACACACAATACGCACGTCCCCATCATAATGGTAGTTTATTAAAAATGCATGCTATAATTGCACATGGCAACACCCACAAAAGCGCAGCAAACATAACCAGGCTTTGCTCAATCCCTTAATGACTGCATAATGCATTAAGTCCAGTACAATTCTCATAAAGTCAACAATCCCCATCTGTTCTGTTGGGAGATTTCCATAGGTCAAATCTGACCATTTCCTCATATATTTTAACACAATAACCCTTGTCTCCTGTCCTATGCTGGTAGACTTACTGTCAGACTTACTTGTCAGACCTAATTTCTTTGGAGAGTGCAAACAGAGGAGTACAATTCAGACTTCTCCACTTTTCATCTCATGCAAATAGACCGTCCATTGAGTCCTTACACCATCTTCATACATCACACTGCTGTTTGCCATTTCTATTTCTGCATGGAGTATTCAAACAATAACCAACCTTGCATATATGGGAGATTAGCAATAAATTATTCCAGGGCCAGACAAACAAAAACTTCGTGTCTCTAACACTTGCGACAATGAAATGTACAAAAACATGCAAATGGAAAAGCTCTCCAAACCTTAACTTTACACTTTCTGTCTTCTACACAACACAAGCGCCAAAGTCAACACAGTCAAAGCAGCAGTTTGGCAACATTGATACAAACAACATTACAGAGAGACAAATAAAAATGAACATCACTAACCCACCAAAATATGCTGTGCCAATGCTTTCACTAACATGCACTTATTATAACCTCTTAAAATCATACAAGCACCAAGATGTCAACTATCATGTTTTCCACTTAAGTGACAACATAGTCACAACATTTTTCAGAAATCAAACAAGTCCGACAAACACACAGATACAGGTGTAAACAGAAAATGTCAAGGGTCCAACTACCTGTAAACAAAGGTGTGCCACAACAAGCAATGGCCAGTGACTGCCCATGTCAAAACAGTCCAGGGAAGATGGCTGACAGCTATATCCTGACTCTTACATAAAGTCTATTTGAACACGCAAGGTCATTGTTACAGAAATGTCCAGGGGGTAAGTGTAACATAAGGGACAATTAGTGCTATGTTAACTGTTCTGAAAAGCTGTTCAACAACACATGAAATGGGGCAACCACAAATTATACTGACTACATTTAACGTCCCCCAAACAACACACCTGCCGACGGCACACCTGTCCCACACCTGAACTCACCTGTTGCTCTTCCCACGCAGGTGAGCAACTACAGACAACCTCAGGTCGGGTTTCTGCCCTCCTTCTTGGAAAAACTAAGTTATTTTCTTTCCATTGATGCAGATAATAGCTATACAGGCAAGCGTCTCGCTTGGTGAACGGCCACAAAACTATACAACCAGGAAGTTTAATATCGAGTTTCACCCAGACGGAGGAGAGGACAAAGGTACCAATACGTAACGTTACATGTGTGCGGCGTCAGAACAGGCTCCGAAGGCACGAACCCAGTCTTTTTAAGTCTTGAGGAAGCTTCTTAACCAGTTTCTTGTCTAATATTGATAGAAATAGGGCAATTTGTTGGTGACAGTCTTAGAAATCACTGGATATGTGGGGAGGGGGGCAGACTACCCATTCGGATCGGTTGGGACACCGAATTTCTTTTAACGTTAGATTCTCTTCAAGATTTTCCGATACTCCCAACCGAAAACACACACACGCACATAAGTTGTACGACAACCTTCGTTACAGACACCAAGCACCAAGTCTTACCTGAATTTGTCAACGGTCCACGCACGGTTTACATCTGAAAACTTCTCTGGAAGTTTCCTTGCTTGTGCCGCCGCCCAACACACCTCTCCAGACAACCGAGCTCCCCTGGTCCTGTCTCTTCAATTCCTTTAGCGTCAACAATCGTCCACCAAACTTGCCCCTTCAGATATCCTCGTTTTCTTCCGACTACTCATTGAGTGAATCTTGGGAAGAGAACAGGTGAAGAAAATGGAAAAGACGCGAGAGTCGGCCGGTCGATAGACCTCGCGGATCGGTCAGAGGAGCGATTTGTCGTCACAACAGTCGTGAAGTGATCGATGACCACTGGGAGCAACCAAGTACTGGTATGTCCGGAGGGGGGCAACATTCCCCAGAGATTACCAGTCATTTGTGGAATTTCCACATAAAAGGGTCATGAAATATTCTCTTTCTCGTCTCTAGGCAACCACTTAATGATTTGTGCTTTTGTGCTAACAATACAGCGATTAGAAACTGACGACGAAAAAGGGGCGGACCCTCGCAACATGACGTCAGAGTTCCTATTATAACTAGTACTTGTATCTTATTTTCGTTAAAATGAAGTTTCACAGTACAGTAATTAGAGGTTTTCATTGTCTTTCTTTCCTCTCCAAAGTTTTAGTCTTTTTCCTTCCCACTTTCACTTTTCCCGATTATCGTCCTTTGCGCTTATAATAGGTAAAACTACACTTCACCCAGGCAGATTTCAGACACTCGTAAAGCGTCATTTTAGTTGCAGTAATATTGGACTTCTCTTTTAGTCAACTTCGCTTTTCTGCATGTTAACCTGCAGGTATTGAAGTACTTTTCGGGAGTGTTAGGCTGTGTATGTGTGTTCGGGTGCAGCATATTGGTGGGGGGTCGAAGATTGACCTTAGGTCAAGTTGACATATGGCTGTGGCAATAAATGCAAGAAAGCTCTAAAGCAGCCGTAAAACGATATGACAGTCCAAGGACATTATACTCTGTGTATAATGTCCTTGGACAGTCTAACTACAGATTTCTCCTTTTTCTCAGTCACACAAGAATCGTCTGGCGGATACTGAGGGTTTTTCTGGTAAATCTAACTCATCACTATGAAAGGGTGTGAAAGGGGTCCCCCTCTCCATGACGTCACAAGGCGGACGTGCGTACAGTCCAGTCACATGCCCTGCCTGGCGTGGAAACGTCATCAAACAACGGAAATCTTATATCTGACATAAATCAAGCTGCTGTGTTACCCCGAAAGGAGGTTATACCGGCTATACAGATACAGAAATCAGCCAATAAACAACTACTGCCTGATAAGTTCATCAGTGTTGTATAAATCAGTAGGCATGGTCTGGATACTTGTCAGACACTTATATGCAATACGAATGGGACTACTAGTACAGTTGGCCGGTTTGGGTTTGTCCCTCGTGGCCCTACGGTTCAACTCTCTGTGCAACTCTCCCACCAACTTCACGCGCAAGTCAAGACATCACAAATCTCTAACAACGGTTCGACTTCAACCATATACCGTATACACTATTTTTCGTCGCTGATTTGAAACCCGCAGAGAAAAGCGCACACCAAAGGGGAGAGCATTATAACATCTGTCTGGATATTACAAAAGTGCCGTTCTGGTTCTTGACTTGGCTAATTTATTTGATTAATCTACTCCTCTGGCAAAGCATTTACCTAATTTTAGCCAATCTATACTCATGTCTGTTGAAATGTTCGCACAAAACATGAGGTCATTGGAAACTACTAGTACCATATCAACAAATTTTAGTTACAGTTTCTCTCGTTGAATTAATTGATCGTTACAACGTCTAACGCGCACATTCTACTGACAATATAACTTGAACACTGTTGCACACTGTCGGAGGTCAATGACCTTTTCTATACCCATGGCCTCGGGCGGTTCCATGTAACACCTGGGGAAATGGTTGTGACTGTGACGATGTCATTGACCTCGAAGTACTCGAGCCTCACGTGATAAAATCTGCTGATACAGTATTTTTTAACAACTAATTTTGGGGCCGGAGAAGCATTACAAATTGGCCCAAAATGGGTGAATAATTTGACGGCAAAACTGGAGGCAAATTTGTGTAATTTTTCAGCTACCAATTAAAAGCAGTCTGGTATGTAGCGACTACCAAGAACCCGCTCACTCACAGGACAAGCTTCCTGTGAACGTTAACACAAAGAAACTCAGCCCGTGTGTGCGTCAGCCTCTAAAAACAGCAAACATTCTTCCTACTTTTATAGCTTATTCTGACAGTAAGTTGAAATGTCCAAAAGACGTCACTTCACGAAATGTTTGACTGACGTGAATGCGGTATAAATAGAGCCCCGGCGCTACGGCACGTTTAACTTACGCACACTTTGCTACAGCCGTCCGCTTAGGCTTGCTCTATTGGCAGCTAAATTGAAGCGAAGTCGGGCGTGCTGTCGAGCCTTTGTTGCTGTAAAAACACAAGCTCGGACGGCATGATCAGGTGTCTGCTAGGTGTCGCTCTATGGGTATCCGCTAGGTGTCCCTTCACTACGCTGTTCGAGCATGTTCCAATCAATCAAATGGTTTATTTTCAACCGACTTCGCAGCACCAGGCTGAATTTTGTCTATTGCAGCAATCAATTATAAAATCGTTAATAGTACATTAATACGTAAAGAGCCTCTTACTTTTAAAATATGAGATGCAAGAAGATGTTGGAAAGGAGCATCGTAATGTATATCCTTAATTCAGTGTACGCCACTGAATAAAGCCAATCTGAATCTGAATGGATCTATTCTGACCGGTCCAGGTCCGTGACTTATGTAATAAGAAATACGATCTTCCTTATCAATCTGGTGGAAGATAATGGAGTGACCCCAGAACAATATCTCTCTGATGTGTCATCTTGGCTTTCGAATTCGTGTTACCTTTTGTGATGCTTCATCATTCGAACCTGCATTTCAAGCAAAACTCACAAGGGGCGTGACTGCAAATGGGTGCTCGGACTTGCTCGACCTGCTCGTCTACGTCGTAAAATAGAATGAAAGGTGGGTGAAAAGTGAACTTTTGACTACGGTAGAGGATGCATACGCCCTCTCGATACCTAATAGAGATGAATTCGTGTCTTGCCACAGCTTCAAAGGACGTGATTGTTCCAAAGGTCATCAGCATGCTGGACCAAGTTTAGTAAACAATGCCTATCATGAGACATCTCGGCCTGACGAAGCAACAGACAACGGCCGGCGCACATTGCACAAAAAAGTCTGGTTATTTTCCAGCAACGACAAAATGCATTGCAGCTTTGATGATGTGTGCCAAAGTGTGGACAAAGCGACAAGCATAGTATGAGGTCTTCTGTCGGAGCTTACACGATTAGTCGCACTGCAATGTCTCTGTCGCCGTTCATTTGTTGGTACATGGTTCCTGGCTGTCATGCCGAGCTGCATTGGTGCGGACCATGTTTAGTATGTCTGGTCACGCCGTACTGGTGAATAATTCCGTCACACCAACAATTACCGACGTCCTGTGCGATCTTAGTTGAGGCATATTAAACGTTGGGACCAATGCCTGTCGCCGAGATGTTAGGCCCGCGTCTGATCACACACCGCGTCTTCTGAGAGCGAACAGGTGAGGCTAGAATTCTTCGTACTTTTCTTAAACAACCCGGTACATCCATGTTTTATTATACTTGACTCATAAGACTACATAATAGAGAGTCACGAAGTGGTCTGGCCGACTTCGCAAGCTTAATACAGCCTACATGCCGGGTCACTGCTACATGTACATCTGCATGTAATGGGCTGACTTTGAAATTAAGCGATGTCGTTACAGGATTGGCAATATTTTGCTCAGATATGTCTGGTTGACAATAAGCTTAGTTGAAGCACAGTTTACTTTCCAGAAATCCCTGTGCGACATAAACATCTTACTACAGCCACAGTATTTACTGTAATTAGCACATACGGTGTTCAACGTTTATGCGACCAAGTCGAAGGTACATACGTGTAGTCCGCTGATACACACCCCTTCCCTCTAGCCTGGGTGCCATCCTCCGTAGTTTCGCCGGGCACATTAGGGAGGGGGCGGAAACTACGGAGAATGACACCCAGGCTACCTTCCCTCTGCAGCTGCCTGTTTGTCCCATGTTTGTCCCATGTTTACTTAGTAAACGGAAGAAAGTGCACATGTTTTTGTTCTTTCATGTATTTAATAGAACAGAACCGGTTCCCATGAAACAATTATGTTATATCTAGTGTGTGGTTCATAAATAACTGTTCCTGAATATTTTCAGCACAGGATCTTCCATCGCGTAAACCAAAAACACGTCCAAGGAAACACCTTCGAAGATGGCGTCGGCGAAATTAACATTCCTGCACACAGTAAACAACTTTGCGGTAGTGGGCTTGTTGATCACCCCTATGGTGGTGAACTACTGGCGGGGGACGTGGGGACTCATGGACCAGTTCCTCCTGCCGCAGGATCTCATTTACAGCCCCTGGGTCTCCGTGGCGATCGGCATCCCCCTCCTGCTGCTCCTCAACCTGCTGCAGTCCCCACTCCGGCGCCTCGTCGGCAGGATCGACTCCTGCGTGCTTCAACACGCCTGTCACATCCTCTACATCTACGTGCACGGTTTCGCAAACGTCAACCACTGGCGGGGCGTCTGGAAGCTACTGGACGGGTACGCGGGCATCAACGTCCCCAGCGTCATCGTCTGCACTGTCCTCGCCATAGCGGTGAAGACCGTGATGCGAACACTGTACAATCTTCTGGCTCCGCCGATCCTGGTAGCGACGGATTTCAGCAG